GATAGATAGACACGGATAGATAGATAGATAGACACGGATAGATAGATAGATAGATAGATCTATTTTTGCATGGTTAAACATGAAAGAGTTGCAATCAGAGGCATATGGACTATCGTTTACCTAATAAGATTAAGCAACTTGCACTGAAGTGGGGCCTTATTTGGTTCACCACTCCGAGTCCCGTGGGGATTAGATTGCCGGTTTCCATCATTAAACGTAGGTTGAAGCGTAATTTACAAAATCTTTTATCCCCAAAATGACTATTTTTTCCCTAGATTTTTATAACTAATTTACAAGTGAACGTGCGGCTCCCTTGAAAATCACAAGAAATTCGCCGAGTTCTCGGATCAATAGAGCAGTAATTCGTTTTAAACAACCATGGTTCCTCCGAGCGTATATTTTTACCTTGGAAACTGCTTGAACATGGTTAACTTCTATGGGCTCAAAGTTTTCACCTAGGATCCTCCCGAGTATTTTGGTTAACCTCAATGCGTTTTCTGTATGGTCTTTCTCCCTATTGGATATAATCTCTTGGTTTCTCGTTTCTCTTTATTTTTCTTCATTTCAGGTCCATCGAGTTCTGCTGACCGCTTTGGGTGATTGTCGATCTGCCCTGTCCAGCAAACAGTTCTCGGACTCGACTCCAACAGATCTGTCTGATCATGGGGGCACTGAGGATAGCCTGTTGACACCGGAAGAATTGTCAGTCCTCTGTCGCCACATGAACGAACAGCATTGGGCTGCACAACAAGTACAGAGAGCCAGTGTGGAACTCTTCCAGGCTCTGTTCTTTCGTGATCGTCCGGAAAATGATCCGATTCGTCAAGCGGATGGTATTATTTGTCAACTGCGGGGCAACAATGGATTTGTGGTGCTCGTTTCCAGGTACACTGGATTGATTGAATCGAATCAGGGCAGAAACATGATGCATAGACCCGAGTGTGTTTTGTGACACGCAGTACTCCCTAGACTGGAACACTGTTCATTCACACGAGTACACCTGGGTCGTATGTGCATCCTTTTCTTTCTCCACGGGTCGGTCAACGTTAATCTTTTCGGGTAGTTTTTATGTGCATACAAGCATTGGTTTATAGCGTCAAATTCAAATTTTTATTATGGGTCAATTGTAGATCTGATGCTTATTGTATCCCATAGGCTCTGTGCACACACTGAATTCGGTTGGTAGTACAATTAACTAGTAAGTTATACCGTTCACTCACGGGTGCTGAATAGTCACGTGTAGTTTAATGCTTCATCCAGTCGTGACTTGAATGAATCGATGATTGATGCACAAACAACTTGAGCTGGGAGAGAGTTCCGGGTATTACGAACTCTGAGGTTGAAAGAATGACGCGTGCAGTCTAGTCAACTCTTTTGGAGCAAAAGTTTAAAGGGATGTCTTCTGAGGTGCCTATTCCTGGAGAGTGTTAATAGAGTACTACACGGGTGATTAGGTTAATATACGAGATCATACCTTTCCGTATTCGACGGTATTCAGATGAATAAAGTCCAAGAATATGCAGCCTTCACCCTAGTTTTAGATTGTAACCCTTTGACCATTTTGGTTGCTCTGCTCTGCGGCGTTCGAATGCCTCTTGGTCGCAAATTAATCATGGATTCCAAACCTGTATAGCATACTCAGTGTGTGGTCTAATGTATGCTGATAGTGAACGGGGCGATAGGTCTGCTTCGAAGGATCCAAAACACGTTTTACCAATCCAACTTGCTTTATGGCCCTTGATGACACTCTTGCGCGATGTGTGGAACACCCTGGATCCTCACGAACGATAACTTCCAGATCTTTTTGGTTTGTAGAACGCGGTAATGGCTGATTTTCAAGTAATTATGGAAAGTGACCCCTGTGACTTAACGATACAAACTTACATTCAATATCACTAGTGATAGATCGTTGGTAAGCTGCGTCGAGAGTTTCCTAATCTTCAGGATGTTGTATCGTCTCCCGTGTTCTGGCTTCGTCAGCGAATAATAATGTCTTTTCTCCAAGGACGCCTGGTAGGTCGTTTATGAATGCTGGGAAAAACTACAGACCAAATACGGATCTTTGTGGAACTCCACGGATTGCCTCAGTCGGCCCCGAACTGATACGGTACGTTGTCGAAGAAGTTCCTCAATCCAGTCCAGTAGCAGTCCTCGGAAACCGTAATTATGGAGCTTTCGCGGTGATATATGGTGGTTAACCCTGTCAAAAGCTTTGGAGAAGTCTAACCAGACCACGTCTCCTGCCTCTCCTGCATCAACTGATCTTGTCCACTCGTCTCGTGCATGTAGCAGGTTTTTGGTGCACGAGCGTTTTTTCGATACCCTTGTTGAACCGGCGAAAGAATGTTCTTCTGGAAATGCTCCAGTTGCCCTCACTGCATATAACCAGTTTAAAACAACAAATCAACATAGTGCATATTTGTCCTTCGCAGTTTCCATGGTTCGCTGCTGATCAGCCCTGTTCTGTCGACCGTTACATTTGAATGAAGATATCGAAGCGCAAGCACTGCTCGTTATGTAACCTTATCTACACCTTAATACCGTGTTTGTGTATATCTCTCAGAGTGACAATAATAAGTCGATCTATGCGCTTGTTCACTTCCTTTCTCAGGTTCGGGATCAGAGGTTCGGTTTGTGTGAAAGATCCTCAAGGTCAGGTTGCTTGGATGAGTACAAAATCCGAGGATCGGCATCGCATTCAATGGATGCCAGCCGGTGCCGGTTTCGAGGTAACCGCTGCACTCCTACACTTCGTATGCGTCTATGTATTTGCTGCTCGTTTTTTCCTCCATGCTATTGGGTAGTTCGATTCATGCACTGTGTTTTTTTGCACCATGTTGTCGCTACACTTCAGTTCTAATCGTTTGGTTAGCGATATCTTATGTGATACATTTTCTCAGACCATTAAAGTTAGATTAATATTGTCTATTCACATGTGTCTGAGCCATCAAATCGTTCACAATATATTTGCTATTGATAACCGCGGTACATAAACCCAAACACTATTCTCACTAATCTACGACTACTGAAATGCACATCGTTTGTTGCCCCGTGCTCTTTCCCCCCCGTTATCACTTCCCGTGACTAGTAGTGTTCTATCAGGGAACTCCCTATACATTAATTAGCTAAAAACGAATTTCGTACAAACAACAGTCGTTTACCGTTGTGCATTGCGCTATACTTGCGGTGGTTG